TTATTATTTTAATAATTTTTTTTTTTTTTAGAGTTTAACCTCTCGTGAATGAAAAGCACTGCTTTTCACATCTTTTCACATCCACATGTTTTTTTTTGTTTTTTTTCGAAGGTAAAATTGTTATGCTAAAGCTGCACGTTTCAGACGTTGTGTGCTCGGCCTAATGACGCAAAACACGTAAACGCTTATTTATTTCTGTTCATGTATTTTGTTGTCTGAGCCACGCTGAAACTAAATCTCAGTATTATTTTTGCTGGGAGGATGCCAGTGTTATTTTTTCGTCTAGGAACAATTAAATTTGATTGCTCTTAAGCTGCTAAAGTTGCAAAATGACTTACAGTTTAAATAAATACACTTGGAACGAACACAGCGGAACTCCAGAAGTTCATGTTTGGATGGAAATGCCTCATTTTAATTGTGAACGTGCTTTTCGTTCTGCTCAAACATCTTCGTTTACGCTCCGTCTGCTTTGTGTGTGGTTTTTTTATGGATTGTTGACTTACAGTAAGTGACTTTTTTTTTTGGTTTCAGACACAAATGTAATTGTTGCTTTTGCGGTGCATAAATGTTTATATGGGATAGTTCGGTCATATCTGAGTGTACACCTTACTTCCTACATTTTTAGAGGGATTTGAGTCACTTTTTGTGGTCATTCAAAGCCAGTTTATCCTCCAGATCAATGAAGCCGATCGCAAAGATCAGCACTTCCACTTTTTCCCAGCATAATGTTGACATACTCTCTCTGTCGTCTCTCTGTCTCAGGACACTACCAGCTGTCCCCCACTGTGAATATGCCCCAGGACGACACAGTCATCATTGAAGATGATAGGCCACCTGTTCTTCCTGCCCGCTTGTCGGACCAATCATCATCCAGCTCCCACGATGACATGGGATTGGTGACAGAAATGCCAGGCTCCTGGCCCAAAGATGTCCAGATACAGGACGAAAGGTAATGTTATCACCTACCTCAGAATCATCAGGACATTAATGGGTTGAATTAAGTACACTGCATATTTGATCAATTTTAAGGTGCACTCAGTGATATTTCCACTGATAAAGAAGTAATCATAATCGTACTTTTGAAAAATGATGTCCATTTACATGAGATGAAGACTTCAGTCATATCAGTATCCAATTAAAAGTGTGTCTGAACAAATAAATAAATAAATGAATAAATAGTAGTGGGGTTATTATAGTTAACTTAAAGTAAAACAATTAAGATTTTTTTTTTTATTTGAAACAAAATAAACATTAACTGAGATCAAGTATTAAAACATAGTTTATTTCTGCCAAGGAGTTGCCAAGGAAACATTTGTCATTTTCATTTAGTTTAACTTGATATACTAAAATAACTAAAACTACAACTGAAATAAAAAAAATATTAAAAACGATATAGACTTATTTAATAATAATATTAATAGTAGTAAAAATGACAAAAACACACAACAAAATGACTTTAAAATTAGTATAAGTATAAAAATAAAAACTAATTCAAACTACTAATAAAAATTATAATAGTAACTTGATACTAAAATACCACTGTGTAGTAGTAATTGTTTTTTGTTTATATATATATATATATATATATACACACACACACACACACACACACACACACACACACACACACACAGTGTTTTTGTGTTTAGTTTATTTGTATTTTTTTATGTGTGTGCTTAAAATATTATTGATAATTGCTCTAGAGTGTGTTTTTAGGGCAACATGCACATATATCGCAGACATGATTTAACTGCGTTTGGACATCAGCCAGAGAATCACAGCTAGCTTGATGACAACTAATGCTCCTTCATTTAGTGCCGGTCTTTAATCACCACAGTCCCGGGTTCAAACGGCCTTCTCACCTCACCTAAAACATCAAACCATCAAAACAACAAAAACAAAACCTCATTCTGAACCATAAAATGTTTCCTTCAAGCACAAACAGCGAGTCATTTTTTTATGCATTATTAAAATGTTGTAGTCTTTGGCATTCAGTGATTGAGGAGCGCATTGGTTGACCTCAGCTATTGTTTTGTGATGTCTCGTCCGTCATAAAGGCCAAATCACAGCCCATTATGTTTCCGCACAGCGCTGAAATGTGAGAGCTGCTAAATAAACGAGTGCGGTGATGGTGACAGCAGGGAGGACGATCAGTGTTTGGGCTTCAGTTGAATGTTTGGGCTCAGAAGCAGTGTGAGATATCGTGACGCTGCTCCTGTCTTGAATATGTGTGTGTAATAATGCATACGGTCTGTGCGCTTTAGCAGAAAGTCTGAAAGTCTTACTGTTTGAAATTTAGGATACTTTTCACCATGATATAACATTTTCATCATAGCTGAAATCTATTCTAAATAGTCTGTAACGTGGTAGAGGAAATCCTTTTTATTACAGCTATGGTGGTTAAAGCGGTAGCTGAGTTAAATATGTCGAGATCATTTTTAATAACATACAATAATTGCATGGATCTACCCGTAGTTATAAATATATAATACATGCTGTTAATATGGTCTTACTACAGATAGCACAGTAAAATTGTTGTTTATATGCAAACACTAATATTTTTCATATGCTAGTATGGTAGCTGTTGAAGATTTTTTTCCTGATACAATTACAGGAAGGAATATGCATTGTATTAAACCCTTTTTAATATGAAAAAGTGACAAATTAGTTTCAAAGTGTGACTCACTTGACTAAATTTGACTGAAATGAGCTTCAGTAATTTATCAACCATTTCAGTCAAATTTAGTCAATGTGAGTCACACTTTGAAACTAATTTGTCACTTTTTTATTTATTTTTATATCACTTTTAGTTTTAGTAATTTTAATACTTCATACTTCAAGTTTTTCATATTTAATTCAATATTTATATTTTGTTTTATTTCAGATTAATTTCAATTTAAAATGAATGAATGAATGATTAAATGAATAAATGATTTTTTAAAAATAGTTTTAGTTAACAGTGCAACACTATTGTTTAGTAAACAATAACAACACTGAACAGGGAGTATTTAATGCTAACTTTTATTGCAATTCAAGTACATTATGACAGTTTTATCATGAAGTAAAAAATAATAATAATAATTAAAAAAAAAAAATGATATATATAATTTTATTCATTCATGCATTTCTTTCTTTCTTTTGTGGAAAAGCTGTAGTTAAATACTATCTGTAGTAAGACCATATTAACAGCATGTATTATATATTTATAACTACGGGTAGATCCATGCAATTATTGTATGTTATTAAAAATGATCTCGACATATTTAACTCAGCTACCGCTTTAACCACCATAGCTGTAATAAAAAGGATTTCCTCTACCACGTTACAGACTATTTAGAATAGATTTCAGCTATGATGAAAATGTTATATCATGGTGAAAAGTATCCTAAATTTCAAACAGTAAGACTTTCAGACTTTCTGCTAAAGCGCACAGACCGTATCTGATACACTGGACCTCTTTTTAGTCTTCAGCTAGAGTCTTCTTTCCACCTGCTCACATTGTTCATCATTCATTCAGACGCTGCAGACTCTACCTGTGTGTGAATGTTTTATTGGCCACTATGGGAACCATTTAGCTGTTTGGTACTTTCAGCCCTGAATACAGTAGTCTGTTGCCTTAGTGAGTGTGTGTGTGTGTGTGTGTGTGTGTGTGTGTGTTTTGGGTCCAGTTCTCGCTCCTTGGGCTAAAAGAGGCTCCTAAAGGAAGTGACTTGAGAAATCAATGTCTGTCCACTTTCAATCTCTCTCTCTCAGTCCCATGAGACAATTTTCTCTCTGCACACTTTCCCACAAAGCCTTTCGGGTCCAGTGTCTGTTTTGTTTTTACTTACTGTATGTATCTTGTTTGTGATGTCATATGTTTGTCGTCGTGGATTGAGGCCATAGCAGTGCTGTCACTCTCACACACACACACACACACACACACACACACACACACACACACACACTGTGTGCGTGTGCAGCACTGCACTGCCTCGGGTTAGTCTGAATTATTCATGTCTAAGAGGCCTTATATGCACACCACACTCTCTTCTCTCTGTGTTACACACTCATGCAGATGTATGACAAAATTAATTTAACAGGAGACACACATGCATATCTCTCACTGATTAATCACCTCAGCAATACATTCATACGGTACACATGTATGCATCCCGATGTTGAGACAGTTACACATCCACTGGAGGGCGCTACCACTGGAACATCACGCAGATAAAATAAAAATTACAATTGATATTGCTTATGGTTCATTTGTCACATTGCAAACAGAAAGTAAAGTCAGATGCACTGCATTGTGGGATACTTAAACCTACATCGTGTGCAACGTTTTAAGTATTAGTTTATACTGCAGAAATAGAGTAATATTGTAGATTACTCTTAAAAATTAAGGTTCTTTAGGGGCATTGATGGTCCCATGAAGATCCCTTGACATCCATGTGTCTACGTTTTTTTTTGTGTTAGTCAAATTTCCTTTTTAGTTTTTATGAGTTTTTAGTCTAGTCTCAAAATTAAAATCATGATTGTTGTGATTTCATAAATGCCATCAGAATTATTGCACTTTCACCTATAAGCATACATATGGTTAATTTGACCTCATCTAGTTTCCTGATTTATTAAATAATCATAAATATAAACTCAAAAGCAAAAACAGTGACATTCCTAAAAGTAATTCTAGTAACTCCATATTATATTCATGCATTTCTAATAAAACAACATCAAAAAATACTTTGTATTGTGACTTAGTATTGTGGTTGCGTAAGTGCTTTTATAGTCCAGTATAGTGTATGTACATATATAAAATATAGTCAAGATCATGCTTGGTGCCTGATGCCTGATGGCAGATTTAGTCGAAGCATATGTGTGATTGAACACAGGCTGACTTCTTCTGAGCAGAATATCTCAATAAAGATTGCTAAAGTCCAACTTACATGTTTGTCGATGTTTTCAGATCATCAGTACTTTTCTCGTAGCGTAGAAAGACCACATGTGGATGGTTGCCATATTGGGAAGATAAAGTAAAACACAGCACGGCTTTAATTAGGGGATTTAACTCTTGACATCTGGCAACCGCAAGCATGAAAACTCACAGAGGTCTATATTTTTTCTCTTCTTTTTTGTTGATGAAAATATAGTTTTTATTTTCACAGTCACAGTTAGTGTTCAACATAAAACTGCTGCGAGACACCATCCAAAGAAAGAAAGAAAGAAAGAAAGAAAGAAAAAGAAAACCTAAGAAAAACATGGGTCTTCTATGGTGAAAAAAACCCTTTCGGGAGCCTGTATTTTTAAGAGTGTATGCCGTTCCACGCACAATTTCTGTCTTTCTTTATTTCTCTCTCTCTCTCTCTCTCTCCCTCTCTCTCTCTGTCGTGAAGGATGGCGTCTCGCAGCAATTTTCTGGGTTCACGCACAGAAGCGTATCTCTCATTAACACATTAGGACTCCTCTCAAGACAAATGGCTCTTTAGCAGGGCCAAACCACAAACATTAATAAAGTGACCTAGTTAGAGCAGAAGCAGCCATTCCAGTGTGCATGAATGTTTGTAGCCAGTGTAATAACGATCATTAAATAAAGTCTAATGTTTGCTTGAGATGCGTTCATGAATGCAGGTAGAGCGATAAGTCATAGGAGGCCGTCCGTTACAGTCATTTTATCATGGGATGATTTTTGGTGGTGAATATCATGAGTATTGTCAAGAACATGCCTGGATTTTACAGTATTTCACCACTGAACTAAAATAAAATAATAAAAAAAATAGGAAAACCCTTGTGTTCTTGTTACATGTATTTACTATAGTAACAGTGACAGTAAATTATGCATATTTAACAGCACTAACACTAAACCAAACCCTAATCCTAATAATCACACGCACACACACACACACGTTTACTTAGCTATCTAAATGGGGACATTACATAGACTTCTATTGTTTTTATATACAGATAGTT